TAAGCCCTTTCTGGTGAGCCTGAGCAGCGCACAGAAACGCCGTTTACCTTCCCGCCGGAGCGGTACCTATTTATCTACTTGCACTTTGACGCGCTTTTGAACTGCTAGGTTGGCAGGAGCAGGGACCGAGCAACGGGAGCTCACCCCATCGCAGGGATTCGAACCGCCGACCTTCTGATTGGCAAGTCCTAGGCTCTGTGGTTTAACCCACAGCGCCACCCGCGTCCTGGTTTTAGAGTAGCCAATAACACCATGAGCATTTGATCCTGGAAGTGGGGGAGAGGGGAATGCAATCTTAAATTTTCAAGGCTCAAAACAAGCTTGCAGACTACCTCGTTTTCTTCTTCGTGCTCCAATATGGCTTGGAGAAAAGCCCTCCGTTCGTGGCTGGAGGACTTCTGGTCGAACATGCCGGCTTGAATAACCTTCTGATCCACGTTCAACTTGTACTTGGCGGCGGCAAGGATCTTCTCTTCCACGCTGTTGACGGTGCAGAGTCGCAGGACGCGGACTTCGTTCTGCTGCCCGATGCGGTGGGCTCTGTCTTGTGCCTGCAAGTCCTGCGAAAAACACATTGCGTGGAACGGATTAGTCCCGGGAGAGGGAGCTGGCTGAAGCAAAACGAAGCCACAGTTTTACATATATATAAACTTATAAAGATCAAAGGCTAAAGATGACAAGCCACAGTGCCAAATTCAGAAACTGCTTAAACTTTAAGCTTTCGCTGCACAGGATTATATGAGAGAAGCATGGCTTATTTAACAAAATAAATACAATAATAAATACAATAATAATTTATAATAATTTATTCTTGATACCCCGCCCATCTGGCCGGGTTTCCCCAGCCACTCTGGGCGGCTCCCAAATAAAATATATTTCATGAAATTCATGTGTTTTGGCATTTAAGTGAAATGTGCATTTGGGATAGAGTTCATTTCACCGGCCATGTGGTGCCAGCACCTGCCCTCTCCTAAGATGGGTGAACAAATAATCCAATTCTGGTTCCCTAATAATTTGAGCTCCCGCTCTTGTAAGAAATGTCCAGTTTGCCCTTTGATTCTGACTTATTTCAAGACCAGGGGTTGTATCCACGGAAGTCGACCTGTCAGTGTGCAGTGGGGCTTCTTCTCTTCTCCCTGTCCCCCCCCCCATCTGCTCTGGGGGTTTTTTGACCTCCCAATAGGGCAACGCTCCCAGGGGCATTTGCGCCCCACCAACGTCCCCATTGCCCTGCCCTTCCTGCTCCCCGGAAGCAACAGCGACCCGCCTGTTTCATCTGCCAATCTGTTTCTGCACTGTACTCTGGGCAACTGTCAGCGCTAATACCGAACCCTCCTTATCTAGAGGTTGGCAGCGACATTTTCAAAGGGGAGGCAAAAAGGCCGAGCCAAAAAATCTTCCTCTGGCAGAAGAGATTGCAGGAGCAGCTTGGAGGGATCCCAGGCCAAGATTCCCAGGAACTTTTCACCCCAAGACCTCCCTGTTGGCCAAAGGCTGCACGCAGGAGCATCATATCTCAAAGTAGATAATAATAATAATAATAATAATAATAATAATAATAATAATAATAATATTTTGCCCTGCCCATCTGGCTGGGTTTCCCCAGCCACTCTGGGCGGCTTCCAACAAAAGATTAAAAATACATTAAAACATCTGTCATTAAAAACTTCCCTAAACAGGTCAGAGATGAGAGGCAGCCCTCCACTAACTGATGCAACTGGCAAAGGGAATGGTTTCTTTTTCTTTAGCTTTTAAGTTACTTTATTGAACTTTAAAAATAATAACACAAATTCAGAATTATCCATAGCAGATAAACATCAAAGAATTGTCAATATCTATTACACTTTATCACAGTCTTCTTCTAGTTCCATTGACTTCCCGCCAGCTCCATCTAGCTTTAAATGTGTATTTATTTAGATCACTGTTTGTGTCTGTTTAAAATAATTGCTTAGCCAAGATACTGTACTTTCTTTAACCTGTTCAGTGTGTAACAGAAGCTATTCAAAGGCTGCCACAGATTTTATATTGTTGCAATCTTTTATGTAACTTTTAAATAAACCCCATTTATTGAAAAATACTTGATCTGCATGGTCTCTTATTCTTCCTGATAGCTACGCCATTAGTTTTTGTTGCCACTCCAATTTTGAGGGTACTTTTTCTCCTTTCCAATTTGATGCGGCACATGTGGTGGACTTGCAGAAAAATTAAGGAATTGTGGGATGAAATATCTATGGAACTAAAAAAAATAAAATGCGTAAGATCATGTTTACAAAAAACCCCAACAACCAGAGGCCTTTCTTCTTGGGATACTTGTCTCCGATATCCCAAAAAGTGCAAGGGAATTGTTCTTATATGTGACAGTGGCCGCTAAAATTTTAATGGCTAAGGGAATGGTTTCTTTGTGTAACAAATGAAGACCCAAAGATGGAAACAAGAAGAAATACCAGCTAAAGAAGAGTGGCAAGAGAAACTGATGAACTATGCTGAGACGGCGAGACTAACAGGGAAAATTCAGAACCAGCAGGACCAGACTTTCCTAAAGGAATGGAAGAAGTTTTCGATATATTCGGAAAGCAATTGTAACCAATTGACATCGCTTGTAGGGTTACAAGAAGTTTGTAAGGAGTAATTTATAAATTACTGTGAAAAGAATTAAGAATAGACGTATTGGAAATTTGAGTTTATAGCAATAATTATAGTAACAAAACGCATAATTAAAAAGACTTTAGAAAACCACCAGTCGAGGTTGAAGGAAGTCTTAGGCCATGGGCAGGCAAACTAAGGCCTGGGGGCCGGATCCAGCCCCATCGCCTTCTAAATCCGGCCCACGGACGGTCCAGGAATCGGCGTGTTTTTACATGAGTAGAATGTGTGCTTTTATTTAAAATGCATCTTTGGGTTATTTGTGGGGCATAGGAATTCGTTCATTCCCCCCCCCAAAAAAAATATAGTCCAGCCCCCCACAAGGTCTGAGGGACAGTGGACTGGCCCCCTGCTGAAAAAGTTTGCTGACCCCTGTCTTAGGCTGTGATAGCCCAACATTTCAAAAAGATGTTTAAAAGGATGTTATGCTGGAAAATATGTGTAAAGCTAAAGGGACCCCTGACCATTAGGTCCAGTCGTGGCTGACTCTGGGGTTGCGGCGCTCATCTTGCTTTATTGGCCGAGGGAGCCGGCGTACAGCTTCCGGGTCATGTGGCCAGCATGACTAAGCCGCTTCTGACGAACCAGAGCAGCACACGGACACGCCGTTTACCTTCCCGCCGAAGCGGTACCTATTTATCCACTTGCACTTTGGTGTGCTTTCGAACTGCTAAGTTGGCAGGAGCTGGGGCAGAGCAACAGGAACTCACCCATCGCGGGGATTCGAACCGCCAACCTTCCGATCGGCAAGTCCTAGGCTCAGTGGTTTAGACCACAGCGCCACCCGGGTCCCTTATACGTGTAAGAACTAATTAAAAATTATTTGAAGAAGAAGAAGAAATAATCGTGGTCTGTAAATAACCTGGTGGGGATTCCAGTCGCTGTCGAAAATAATGACGGTATCCGCTGCCTGGAGGTTCAAGCCCAGCCCTCCAGCCCTCGTGCTCAACAGAAAGATGAAATACTGGGAATTGGGCTCATTGAACTTCTTCAGCAGGGCTGCCCGGTCCTCCGATTTCGTCGTTCCTGAAAAGAGGAGCAGGCAAAAAAGCACGTGTCATTGCAAAGCCTCTCCATGTGATGATGTCCTCTTTAATTCTCCTTTCCTTTTATATGGTTCAAAATCAGCACTAGCCACTGTGGTTCCGGCTGTCTGTATGAACGGCTATAACAAACACCATCAGCACTGGCACAAACGTTATTTGCAGCCTTATCAGGGCGCTGAACTCCAGGGGAACCGGAAGGAGCAAAGACACCAACTTCTGTAAGGCTCTGAGAAGAAGAAAATTGCAGGACCGTTTAATGGTGTGTATGTTGTATGAGATCTTATCTGCTGTGGGTCTTTCAATTCATAAAGCCAAATGGTGAGATAGGAAAAAATAATGTATAAATGCTTGTGTAATTATTTACTTTGTTCTAGTTGCAGAATTTGTGCTTTTGCAGAATTCTGCATTTTGTCAATGCAGAGTACTGATGAACTATCATCTGCTATTCTAATTTTTTCATTTAAAAAAACCCACCCAGCTTTGACTGTGATCCTGAGCCATTTACTTTGAAGTGATGTTACTGAAAAAATGAGGTTGACTGCTAAGCAAAAACATTTGGGATCAAAGCATTTAATATTACTGAAGCCTTGGATTACCTTTTAATTAGAAGGCTCAAACTGCTGCTTATCTAGAAGTATTTTGTTTTGCTAAGTATGTTCTTCTAATAATATATAAAGACTGAACATTTCAATTTCAGTCACAGACAGAGGCGATTGCTGCTAAAGGTAAAGGGAGAATGCTCTGAAATTCACTGATATATATTTATACAGTGGTACCTCGGGTTACATAGGCTTCAGGTTACATACGCTTCAGGTTACAGACTCCGCTAACCCAGAAATAGTACCTTGGGTTAAGAACTTTGCTTCAGGATGAGAACAGAAATCGTGCTCTGACGGCACGGCAGCAGCGGGAGGCCCCATTAGCTAAAGTGGTGCTTCAGGTTAAGAACAGTTTCAGGTTAAGAATAGGCCTCCGGAACGCATTAAGTACTTAACCCAAGGTGCCACGGTATATCTACATACTTAGGGGGTAAAAAAAGTCTCTTTGGTGAAGTAACTCATCCCAAGAGAAAAACGAGCGTGCATGCGATTTGGAGTGCGATTAATTTTTAAAATCACATTAACGTATCACATTTCTGCAGAAGAATTCATTTACAAGCCCTACTTCTCCCATTATTTTAGGTAAAAATAATGCTAAAATAGACAGATTTTGGAAGCAAATTACTTTAACTTCCGAGTTAACTTCAATTTTTTTTAAAAAAAAAAAATCTCATGGGAAATTAGTGTTAAGGACTATGGCTTCTTAAACATCGCTTGGATAGCTCAGCTGGTGCAGCATGAGACTCTTCATCTCTGGGTTGTGGGTTCGAATCCCACGTTGGGCATAAGATTCCTGCATTGCTGGGGGCTGGACTGGATGTCCCTTGGGGGTCCCTTCTATGATCTGAATTGGACCAGATGAGAGGAATACCCAGATAAACTGATTTCCATCAATGGACTAGAGTGTTTCTCCAGCGAACTGAGTGCACACTTTCAGCTTGGTCCCATAACATAATCTGGATATCGTGCTGGAAACAAACCCGCTGGGACTCACCTGGTTCCGTGGGCGCCCATCCATCAGGTGGCATTTCGCGCCACCTGATGTTCTTAGCCCAGAAATGCAACTCCTAGTCAAGGCATCCCTGAGCCCTCCCAGCCCTGACGCCAGCCCATGTCAGGATGAGACCAACCCAGGATACAGGGCAAGCCAGAGTCAACCCAAAAGAGAAGGAAGGAAACGCACAGAACAATCCCAAAGGAAAAGAAGAGAATAACCTCAACTCTAACAAACACGCATCCATAGAAGAAAAAAGTTAAGTGCACCAAAAACATGGTCTGAGCATTAATGAACGTGAAAAATACAGAACTAGCATTAAGAGGTAGAAACACACAGGTGAATATAAAGGAAAATGCAGCTGTTTGGTCCCCTGCAAAAGCCCTTCAATTAACATAGGTGGATGGGAAGCCACCTTTCAGGCGAGTCCAATGTTCCACTCTCCACAGATGCCCAACCATCCGGTGGGAAGGATCAAAGCAGCCTAACAAAGCCATCCCCTCTAGCGCTGGGCGATACGGATACAGCACAATGTCTGGAATAGGATGGAGCTGGTTTTCAACTTCACGATACATCCCCAGCTAAACAGCACAATATACAGTGGTACCTTGGTTTAAGAAGATCTTAATTTATGCACAACTTGGATTAAGAACGCTACAAACCCAGAAGTAGGTGTTTTGGTTTGTGAAGTTACAGGCAGGTAGCCGTGTTGGTCTGCCGTAGTCGAAACCAAATAAAAAAATTCCTTCCAGTAGCACCTTAGAGACCAACTAAGCTTGTTATTGGTATGAGCTTTCGTGTGCATGCACACTGTGTATCTGAAGAAGTATTTGAAGAAGTGTGCATGCACACGAAAGCTCATATCAATAACAAGCTTAGTTGGTCTCTAAGGTGCTACTGGAAGGAATTTTTTTATTTGGTTTGTGAACTCTGCCTTGGAAGCAGAACAGGTTTCACTTCTGTTGAGTGTGTTCCATTTGTAAATTGAGTCCCCCGCTGCTATGGGAAAGCACGCCTTGGTTTAAGAACGCTTTGGTTTAAGAAGAGACTTCTGGAACGGATTAAGTTCGTAAACCAAGGTACCACTGTACTGATATATCACACCACAGTGTCTGAAATAAGGATGGAGCTATGTAGAGGCATTGGCTGGCTCCATAGTTTTCCCCACATCGTGATTTTTGCATCGCACCCCCCCCCCATGATTCGTGATATACTGCCAGGCCAAAAAATTATGAAACTGATATAACGATATAGACTTCAAACTGGGTTTGGACTACAGACTGGTCTGTCACCTAGAACTGCACCAGCACCTGCTGCAAAATTAGATCTTCTCAAAAGTAAAGACGGGAAGCTGCCAAGACAAATAAATCGATTTTGATGAAAACTGTGTACGATCTTAACGTAAAATAATAAAGAAAAAACACTCAGAGCAAATACAGTGGTACCTCAAATTACAAATGCCTCGGGTTACAAATGCCTCAGATCACAAACTCCGCTAACCTGGAAGAGTTACCTCGAGTTGAGAACTTTGCCCCAGGATGAGAACAGAAATGGTGTGCCGGCGGTGCCGCGGCAGCAAGAGGCCCCATTAGCGAAAGAACGCAACAGTTTCAGGTTAAGAACAGACCTCCGGAATGAATTAAGTTCGTAACTAGAGGTACCACTGCACAAAAGAGGAAAAGGTCCAAGAAGAGAGCTAAAAAGTTGAAGAGGAGAGCTTTGTCCACCTTGGACAAAGACTGCAAAGGACTGGAGTCAGTACTGGAAGGGCTTGAAAATGCCTTGACTCAGAGTTGCATTTCCAGTAAGTCAGAGAAGTATTGCTCTCCCCATCATACAGACAAGGGAGTTAGTTGCAAGAGCAGCTTGTCTTAACCACATTGTGGCTGAGGCGAGATATAAACAAGGAACTTTCTGGCTGGCAGCTGGCACTGCTACGGATGTAAAGGAAGGGAACACCTTCTCATTCCCCTGGAGGTGGGGAGAAAGAGGGGTTTGTGAGTAGGAGCCCCTGGCTCCAAGATCACAAGACGCCCCTCATTTATTTCCCAAGCTCCTTTCACTTTGGAACATTACCGTCAAGTCGCAGGTAAGCAAAATTCCGAAAAGCAAAATAGTCTTCCATGATGGTCATGAGGGACGTCATTTGACAGAAGAGGAGGACGCGGTGGTTGGTGGCTCGCAGCTTTGGCAGAATTCGATCGAGCAGCTCAAACTTCCCCGAAGCCCGATAAAGCTCAGCTCTGTGAAGAGAAAAGGCTGGATAATAAATATTAACAAGGCTACATTTGCACATGCAATTAGCAGCGCCGACGGCATCTCAATTTCCTACTTCTCTCCTATAGGCTGTTAAGCAGAACGTTTGGTATGGACTGCAGAAAACAAACCATGTGTGGTTTCTTCTCAGATATTAGGGTGCGCAGGGATTACTTCCCCAAACCCTACACAAACCCCAGAAAGGGAAAAGGTCCAACCTAAAGCCAAGCAACTACCTAAACTCTAAAAGATTCTGTGATGACAAGTTCTAGGAAGTAAAAAATAATAGTTACCCATTGATGACACCATTTGAATAGCCCAAATGTTCAGCAAAGGATTCCTGCAAATGGAGAACAGCAAATTACTCAACACGACTAGATTAAACCACACCCAACATAACTCTTTCTAAACTCATAAACCTAGGTTGGTGGTGCTAATTAAAATAACAGATTTTTAAAATGGTATTTTTCTTATTAGTGCACAGACCACATTGTAATAAACATACTTCTCTGATGTGAATCAACTGGCAAGCTACTTGCAACTTATTGAAATGGATGGATTGGTAAATAAAGAGCCAATAAAAAGCTTATATTGTAACACAGCATGTCATCTTAATAAAGTATGAAAAATTTCAGTATGTACCAATATGTATATGCCTTACATAAAAGAATAGCACATTAATAAGATTAAATCTTGCCTAAATATTCCTTTGCAAAAGGTATATAAAAATGAACCCTTTTAAAACAATTAAGCTAGAAGAAGATGAAATATATTTTGTATCATTCAGGGTGGCACATGACTCTAGGTTATGGGAAAGATCCACAAATGCAGTCACAGGCAAAAGATTCCTTAGACAATCCTCAAAAATAAGCTTTGCGCATTGTTTCATGGTTCCAATGCATGTTGGATCATCAGTGAGACTTGTTCTGAGTAGACCTCGCTGCAAGGTTGTAGAGCAGGGGTCAGCAACCTAAGGCCCGTGGGCCAAAAGCGGCCCATGGGGTAGTTTAACCGGCCCACAAGCCATCCACGAACCGAGCTGCCCGCTCAGTGAGTCCCCGCATGCTGCGCTAAACCGGTGCAGCGCAGCGCAGGGACTTGCTTCCGTGGCTCTGGAAATCGCATCTGCGCAGGCGCCAGAAATCGCGTCTGTGCAGACGCGGGTGCTAGAAATCGCGGGGGCGTGCATGCGATCCGGCCTACGGAGGGATCTCCACCAGAGTAATCTGGCCCAGGTGAGGTAAACCTTGCCAACCCCTTTTTTGGGGGGGGAATTACATTCCAATGGGAGAAATACTACTCTGTGAGGCAACATAAGATCAGTGTCTGGGCCTGAAAAATTCCTCCTCATATGAGGGACAGACACTTTCACCTCCTTTTATTGCTGGCATTTTGGTTTTTTAAAAACAGATTTCTTCCCACCCCCCTAAAGTTCCCTAAAGAGGCTGTTTTTGCACACCCTGGGGGCTTCCCCCTTTGGCTCTGCCCTACACAGAATAATTTAAGACCAGAAAGAACGAAGTCCACATCTCCTCTATCCCATTAACCCCTGAGATAACAAAGAAGCAACGTTGACTCACCTCAATGTGCTGAAACATATAGGGGTGATTGCAGATCTTTCTTAATTGCATGATGGTGTTCATTAGAGTCTTGGCGCCTCCTTTTCCCTGAGGAAGGAACAGATGAGACGTCCAGTGGAAATGGGGGAAGATCCCACAAAACTTGGCAGACCATACAACACAGGAGACGCACTTCAGGCCTCTAGTAATACACTTTACTCCTAAATATCCCAGACTCCTATTTCATATTAGTTAACATGAGCTGGAGGGATTTCAAAGCACTCCAGTGTTCCAGCTATTCATGAGAACCTGCTCCTGGGATATAATGAAATCTGCCAGGAGAAGTCCAAACTGTGACTAGGAGGCACTGAGGCACAGGAACATCATAATATTAATAAATAATAAATAATAATAATAATAATAATAATAATAATAATTTATTTATACCCCAACCACTCAAGACCGGGCTCAGGGCAGCTAACACCAGGTATAAAAACAATTGATCAAAATAAAACTTAAAACAAGACTAAAATACAACATTAAAATGCAGCCTCATTTCAGTAGAAACTCAAAATCGAAAACTTTTTGGGGATGAAAATGTCAAATCTTCACCAAGGCCAGCTATCCAGACTGATCCTACATGGGACATAGTGAGTCCTGCTGGCTTGCCCCAGCCAGGATAGGAAAGCATTTTTAAAAAAGAAAGCTACATTAGCCCCAGGCTGGCTGGCTAAGGGCTCCACGCATCAGATCTACTGGATCCAAATTTCCCAGCATCCCATTCTGCCATGTCCTGCATTTCGGGGCTTTCTACTGGCTAGGGCTGGGTGATATCTTGATATATGATCCAAAAACCAGTCTGAAGTCCATACTGTGATACAGTGGAACCTCGGCTGTCGAACGCTTCGGAAGCCAAACAAATTTGGAACCCGAACGCTGACAACCCGGAAGGGAATGCTTCCGTTTTTGAACGTGTCTCGGAAGTTGAACGGCTTCTGCGGTGCGTTTCTCCATTTTTCAAAAAGGAATTTGCCGACGGACAACTGCGCCTCGGTTGCTGAACTTTTTGGAAGTTGAATGGTCTTCCGGAACAGATTACATCTGACAACCGAGGTTCCACTGTGTCGGATTTGTAATTCTTGACCTGGCAATATATCACAAATTGTGGTGTGTGTGTGTGTGTGTGTGCGTGTGCTATGCAAAGATCACGATGCAGGAAAATGTACAAATCACCCTCCCACCCCCTCTCCCAAGCCCTGACTGGCCAGGGGTGGGGAGGAGCCCCAAAGGCTTCCCATTGACTTCTTCGGGTCACACAGCTGATCAGGATAGGGCTGCTCTGGGAAAGAGAGTGGATCTCTCTTGTAATCTGCTCACCTTCTTGTCCTTCTCAGAGCCGTCTGTGAGGAGGATCCCTTTGGCTTGCATGTGGCGGTACAAGATCTTCTGGAGAGCCGACATGTCGCACTTGATCACATATTCCACCTGAGAGGAGCAAATAACGTGTCACTCTCAAAAATTCAGAGTAATGGAAACGCCTCATGCCCTGGCGAGAATCTCACGCTATCTCTAAATGTCTCACTACAATGGCACCGTAAGCCACAAGACATTTTCTAAAGCAGAGTTGGAAAGACTTCAAGCTTATGGGATCTACTTGATCTAGTAGAAACCCAAGATTCATCTGCCAAAGCCCAGCGCAGAGGAGAACCAGAACTGACCAGACAAATTTGGTTACTTGGGAGATTTTTTCACTTTAGCAGCATACCGTATTTTTCGCTCTATAAGACGCACCAGACCACAAGACGCACCTAGTTTTTGGAGGAGGAAAACAAGAAAAAAAATATTCTGAATCTCAGAAGCCAGAACAGCAAGAGGGATCGCTACACAGTGAAAGCAGCAATCCCTCTTGCTGTTCTGGCTTCTGGGATAGCTGCGCAGCCTGCATTCGCTCCATAAGGCACACACACATTTCCCTTTACTTTTTAGGAGGGAAAAAGTGAATCTTATAGAGCAAAAAATACGGTCATTTAGCTTAGGGTGGAGCCATTTTGTTGCTGCTATCGTTAA